AGTTTCGTTTATTAGTCTGTAGAGCTGTCTTGTGTTCCCTATAGCCGCCGCCTTATCCATCTCTTTCGCTTTCGTTGCCAACCACTGCTCACCGTCGTTCCTTAGAACTTTGCCTAACCTAGATCAGTTTGGTTCTAGTGGGTCTTTCTAGTGTACCTTTTTTCGTCCAGTGAGGCGCAAGCAGATGCGCGCTCGTTCAAGTGGGTGGTCGGAGTCCAAACAGGTACTCCAGAATGTGCGACAATCATCTATTGACCCTCTCCAACGATGACTGATGGCAATATGGTCTATTTGAGTTCATCGTTGATTTGGTGCAAGGGGTCACCATGTCAGACGCTGTCTGTCCTTATGCTTAAAATTCGTATTTGCTAAAAATAATCGATTATCTGAGCAAAGTTGCAGCAGGCGATCACCATTATCTGTTCTCTGTGCAGGAATGCTAAAATTCCCACCTAAATGTCTTTCTGTTTCGTTTAAGCTATCTACCTGGGCATTAAAGTCACCTGCTACAAGTACTATGTCTGAACGTTTAGCTTTCTGAAGAAGTCCAGAGATTTTTCTGTAAAATTCATCTTTCACTTCATCCGAGCTGCAGTCAGTGGGAGCGTAGGCAGAAACGACGAAAATGCAACGACGTATGTCCCTATCCTTCCGAGATCTTACGGAGCCGTTTAGCCGAACAGCGTATAGACGACTATTAACGGGGATCCACTCTAATAGCTCTTGTTCCGCCCTCATGCTTAGTGCTATGCCTACACCTGCTAGTCCACGAGAACTATCTATCGGGTCGCCAGATACACGGAGGGTGTATCTCGCCGGCACTCCGTTTTGTCGAGGTGAGATCAAGTGAATGACCACGCCAGGATCCTGTATGCGTGTTTCGGAGACACAGCATACATCAATGGTACGAGATTCTAGGGTTTTAGTCAAGGAAGCCTGCTGACCGATTTGGCATAGTGTGCGTACGTTGAAGGCTCCAATGTGTAGTTTGGAGCGAGGTTTCAGTAGACCTGGGACAGTGTTTTGCGCACTAGAATCGTTGGTTATGGGGACACTTGAGGAGAAAACTAAAGGAGGAAGTTTAGGTTTGAAAGTCGGTGTAGGAGGAATAAGAGGAATTGAAGAGGGAAGTTGATTATAAATGCAGTGGTCATGAGTGCTGTTAGAGATATGAAAGCCGTGATCACTTCCCGTTTGCACAGTGAATGCTGAAAGCCAAGTGGCAATAATTCAATCCAAATTCTAACAGCACGTTACCACAAACATATTTAACAGTGAAACTACAATCATACAATATCTGATTGATTCGAAATACAAGATTCAAGCTAATTTAGCGATCCCTCAAATTGGAAATCAAGTTGTTGATGGGCCACAATATTTGCATAAAAATTTAGATAGCAGAGAAAATTCTACATTAACTTGTGTAATTAAGATTTCACTTGGCAGACAAAAACACTATTTCACTAAGTGCATCACCAGTAAATTGTAGGATTATGTACGGTGATTTTCTATTCACCGCACTCCACTTATTACAGCTCTTATGGTTACGTATTTGTGTATAAACGTTTAGAGTATGCATTTTTCCAAAAGTATTACGCAAGGCCTTTATGTTCTCTTTAACTATGTGCGTATATTAGTACGTATTACATAGCCGAGTATTTTAAACGGTTTCTTCATACTGTAGATGTATAAAATCAAGTAAATATGTGTATTTTTCACGTCTGACTGCTTCTTACTGATCCATCAGCTCTTTTTAAAAGGCTGTTCTACATTTATTCACGCTTATAGATGTGAACTTTATAACAAAAATTTATTGTATAATAACAATATGATATACTTAGCATAATAGTTTGCATGCAAAATCAAAATATTACAGATTATAAGAAAGTTTGTTATAAACTACTTCGTTAGGTTGGTATTCTTTTGTACAAAGATTTTGCAGCTAAACCTGAAAAGGACATTCGCGGTGCAACTCATTAACAACTCTTATGTGACGTTAATAGAAACTATAGTTTCCGTTTAATTCCGTTTACTCTAGTTCGTTCACATTTATATTTTACAGCTTCCATCAGTGGGACACTAGGTGTTGATCTTGAATCTAACGACACTTCGTTCTGTAGCATTTGAATTTTTGATTTTTCAGCAAATTGTGATTATGCTTTATAAATCTCTTATGGTGTGGTTTGGTTATGGCTTAGCCATTTGTAGTGGGATATACATAGGTTTGGTAAACCAGCAAGTAAAATGCTTACTGGCTGCTATTACTGAGACGAATTGTATTCAAAGCGTCTTCAGAAAAAAGACCGCTGAATGAAATAACAATAAGTTGTGACATGTGACAGCATTTCGCGAACAAACTTTGTCATATTCCCTCGACCGTAAGTATATCGGATAGGCATAAGTTGAACGACTAGAATGAAAGATTTGAATCATGGATCTTAAAAGTAACTCTTAAAAAAGGATTCTAGAATTATTTTTAAAGAATTCACGAGGAACGAAGCGTAAGAATTTTCGTATTTTAGATGCTTCAGTTGAAATATGTTTACAGAAGTTTGGATTGTGAGAGTAATGTTCTCCGACCCTAGTTATTAACGCACGTTTACTGTAGTACTTTCTCGTTAAATGTAAATTTTATTTTAAATACTTATCTGTAGCAGATTGGCAAACGCATTTCTCTAGGTTGAATTTTAACTTCTAGCGCTTAAATCACATATTTAAATTATTGAGTTCATGCTAAGTTGTTTTCGTAAAACTTCGTATATCTCAGATGTTAGCGTTATAGGTGACTTTTAAGTCATATGTTGAAATGTTGGTCTGTAACAACTTGTGTTGGTCGGTTACGATTTGGCTGCAAACCTCTTAGGGAAGTCAAAACATTATAGATGAAGTTTTCATTCACCTCGTAATTATGCATAGATATTATATTTCCTATTGTTTTATTTTGAATGTTGAAAGACTTTTGTGTTTGATAAGAAAACATCGTGCTCCACTGTGTAATATCTCACGATCTAAATAAAGACCTATTCGCCACAAGTTTTATTACTTATATCGATAATACGAAAGGTGCTCACCCACACGAAAAGTGTTATTTGAGAAAAGCACGTGTATGTATTTTTGATGTATATTTTAAAAATCACTCGACCTAGAAAGCTAGGCTGGAAACACTTGTAGCGGTAAATAAATGCCCAAAATAAATAGCTCTGTAAGTCTTCGACATTGGATGCTGACCACATTAGTTTTAATGGAATCACCTAGCTGAAGGCTCTCGGTTATGCATCCGCACCAGATCACGAGTGGGAACGCCGTACTCAACATCTACTGAGATCGCTAGCCAGATTATTTCAGACGACCCTCGATATACTGATAGCCTATCAGATATATGTCCGAGCATTCTCGCTTCTGTCTTTTGATTTCACTAGGTGGGTACGATTCATATTAGAAAGTGTTACTGGTTAAAGCGTTGTCAAACTCCGAATACCTGTGACACCTTCATTTTCAAACTATGCTACTTCATCATTTGAAAATCGTAAGTTTAATAAACTCTTAGAATTCACTTCGTTTTTTATTTTGTCAGCATATTGGGCTCAAACTCCTAACAAACGTTTTTAGTTGTATTAGGATTTGTGAGCATTCCTTGACGCACTAGCTATTTTGACCATAACTGGTACCTATTTCTGCCTAAATAATTTACGCGATTTTTGCTAAACATGTTTATCTCTCGATTGTCAGTGTATCTCTTATATGTAGAGATAGACTTAGTAAACCTATTTTGCAGATAGTTTCTGATATCTTTTGCATTTATTTTGCCAACTCTCACAATCCGTACACTTATCATTAACCGATTGTACTTGTTGTTTAAGTATATGACCTTGAACACTTACATCCTTTCCGTTTTTTTGAATTCCTCATAGCATGACAATGTTAACTGCCCATAATTATATACACTCTTATACATACGTCTTTCGTTCTATCAAGTTTGTGGATATTATAACGGAACGATCAATCAACTGTCAACTATATTTATAGACTGTTGTATTATTCGCATTACATTCTACGTTCAGATATACTACTGGAGCCATATCGTCTCATTGGAATTATTATTTATCTATAATTGTGGATTCTGTTACCAAATTCAACAGCATACGTACCAACCTGCTGATTTAAGTAACGCCCCTATACTTTTATTTGTGTTATTATCTCATGAGTTGTTTATTGCTACATCAAACTTTTGACGTGATAACTTTATTGCTGTTTTTTGGTTATCATACTTTTTGGTCCACCACAATTATTTCGTGAGCCTCGTATTTATTCTGACTGTTGTATTACTTAACTTTCTTTACACGACACACTGGTTCATTTTTCACTTAATGTCCTCTCCAACCAAACTTATTGATATGGATCCTCCTCCAGTAACCACTTATACTTCAGTGTCAAACCCTATTGAAAACATTTTAAGCCCAGTTAATGCTATCTCCGAATTCAGACTCCCAACATACGATCTAATAATCCAAGGATTTGGTTTGCACAAATAGAAGCTTTATTCATGGCCAGAAGCATACGCTCACAAGCAACAAAGTACGCTTATGTTGTCGGTGCACTCCCCATTGAGATTGCTGCTGGGGTTGGGGACTTAATTGGCCACAAGCCTGAGTCGGGACCACACGATAAGATAAAAGCAGTGGTAATTTAATGCACTCCAATTTCAGATAAAAAAAAGACTTCAACAATTGTTGACGTTTTGCGACCTGGGAGATAATAACAATAATAATAACAATTTATATTCTGAAAAAATGATAATTACAGAATTCACGCCAGTTTACAGGCATGATCAATTTGATATAAATAATATCATTATATGTACAGAACAAACATGTGTTATGAGTTTTAAGTTTACTAGTTCAGTAATTGTTTGGGTATTACAGCGATCCAATGTATCAGCCGGGAACATGTAATATTTCTTAACTGGACTGTCTGTTGATTTATAAACGATGTAATTAAGGTCATTTTGTGTGCCAGATCGATTTAATGATAAATATCCACAACTAGAGAAATTAAAACGAAAACAGAGAGCACGGAACAACAAAGCAGTAATTACCGAAATATGTCAAACAGATCTATCAAAATGCGTATGTCATGTGACACAGTGATATACTGTTGATGATATTCAAATTAGTTAAACTAGCTGGGGACGGTATTAACATAAAGTGACAGCGAGTAGGTGGTTTTATCCAGAGAATGCACTAATAAAAATGCCTAAACATTTAAAGTTCCTATAATAACACTTGTGGAGTGAGATACACTTGCGGGTGCTAGAGCATTCAATGCATTTTCGGAGGAGCAATATGCATCGATGCAACGTACAAATAATGGAAGTGATTTTATCGTACGGATATGTTGTGGTAGGTTATTCCAGAGTCTAGAAAATTTACAGGCAAGGTAATTCATATAAAGAGATGATTTAGAATAAGTTTGTTTCACAAGTGCCAAGGAATTACGGGTTTCATAATGAGGAGTCTCTGCATATTGAATTACATGATTGGATGTAAAGGATAATTTATTAAGTAGTTTGAAGAAAAAAATAAGATTTAGTTTGAGTCTCCTCTTCCATAAAGGGTCTAGCTCTAGTTTTTTACATCTAGAATTATAAGTTAAGGAACAATCAGCTCCAAGAATACGAAGTGTAAATCGTCTCTGTACTGATTCCAGCCTTAATTTATCCTTTATGCACGCACTGCTAAGAATAAACGTGCAATATTCTAGAAGAGGTCGAACACAAACTTTGTACATTAAAATTCGTGATTCATTGTTATGAAGGTTTCGAATTATGTAACCTACTAGTCGTTGTGACTTGGAGGTCTGTTTCGATATCTGTTCTGTAAGCGATAAGTCTTGGGAGTATCTAAGTCCTAAGTCTACTACTGTATGTAACCTAGTTAACATTTCTCCATTTATGGTAAGGTCTAGGTTAAGTGATGTATCGCCGAAGCATATCCATCCACATTTAGCCGTATTAAGTTCCAGTTGCCATTTTAAGCACCACTGTGCTACCTTGTTAAGCTCCAGGTTAATGCAAGTTTGCACATTTTCCAGCTCATGTGGAGAAAATGAATATACTAGTTTAAGATCATCTGCATATAGAAGGGGCTTACCTACACAAAAATTTTCGCAAATGTCATTGATAAACACTAAAAAGAGCAAAGGTCCTAAGACACTACCTTGTATTACACCACTTCTAACGGGGACAGCGTTAGACAATCAAGAGTTAATTTTAACTATTTGATGTCGATTGCTGAGAAATGAATCAATCCAATCTAGCAAAGGATTTTGAACCCCATAAGATGCAAGTTTGCCTATAAGAAGTTGGTGGTTAACCATGTCAAAGGCCTTAGAAATGTCCAGATATAGCACTAAGACTAGATATCCTTGGCTACGTAGAGAGTAGACTAAATTAAAGAAGTCGAAATGACATGTCATGCAAGATCGATTTTTGAGAAATCCATGTTGAGTATCATTGATAAAGTTTCCAGCGATTAAATAGTTGGAAAGTTCATCACTTACAATTTTCTCCATAATCCTAGAGATCACTGGAGTAATATTTATTGGCCGATAATTGTTCATGTCAGTCTTATCTCCAGATTTGTAACGTGGTATGATGTACGCGGTTTTCCAACAGTAAGGGTAAGAAGCAGTTTCCATAGAGAGAGTAAACAGCTTTAGAAGAAGAAGTGGAATATCTGGACCACCGTATTTGTAGAGAAAGGATGGAATCCCGCCTGCTCCATGACCGCGCGAAAGCTTAAGGGCATTTATAGCCATATTAATTTTCTTACATGTGAAGGAGATAGATTTTATGTAGAGATAAGAGACCCTCACAAATTCTTCGACACATGAAACAACTTGCGGGCCCATACAAACTGGATGAAGCCCTCCTAGAACAAGTGTGGTTCACGTTATCTTAAGCATACCTCCGAAGTCTTCTGGTATGATAACAAACGCGGCTCTAATGCATGGCGTTGTACACGACCGTGCACATCTCCTTCAACTGATACGGTGAATCACGGAAACGGCCTGGCCAAACAGTAACGGCAGTGCCTGTTTCTGGTCACTATCCAAGTCGTCTCTTTCGAATCAGGGATCGAAATTCAGGCTCAGTTTTTCTAGTCGATACTGGACCTGAAATCAGCATCTTCCCACTAGATCTCTCTCGACGACGGAACTTTGAGTTTACTAAGTTATCTCTCGTCGCGGCCAACAACACTGTCATTAAAACTTAAGGTCATTCATTTTAGACCTCGGTCTCCGCAGAAGATTCGCATGGGTGTTTATAGGAGCTCAAGTCAGACAACCCATTCTTGGAGCCGACTTCCCCAGTGCTCACTGCCTACTAGTAGATATGGGCAACAAGAAATTAGTTGACAAGAACACGAGTTTACAGGTCATCGGCACAATCACCTCCGACTACGAAATTCATGGAGTCCGGATGATAAAGCCTATTAACAACATCTTCACCAACATTTTGTCGAAATTTGAGTGCATCATCAGGGCGGATTATTGAAGCGAATGCACTACTCATCATGTACAACATCACGTTACTACCACAAGCCCTCCAACACGCGCCAGGCTAAGAAGACTGCCCCCACATAAGCTAACAATTGCTAAGCGAGAATTCTGGCATATGATGCAACTAGGCATCATTAGTCAGTTTAGCAGCTCATAGGCTTCCCCACTACACATGGTTCGGAAGAAGGATTAAGATTATCGCCCCTGTGGAGACTACCGCCGTTTAAACAACTGACTATTTCGGATCTATACCCCATTCCTCACTTACACGACTTCTCTTTGAAGATAAAAGGAAAACGGATTTTTTCGAATTTAGATCTAGTTCGAGCATATCATCGAATACCGATGGCAGCTGAGGATATTGAAGAAACAGCCATAATCACAGCTTTTGGCCTTTATGAATTCTTGAGAATGCTATTCGGAATAAAAAACGCTGCTCAAACCTTCCAGAGATTCATGGACGAAGTAATCAAAGATTAGGATTTCGCATTTGTGGACGATGTTTTAATCGCTAATTCCTCCACTGAAGAACATGTTCAACACTTACACACACTTTTCGAACGTCTCAAAAGTTATGGTGTGGTAATCAATCATTCGGAGTGTATATTCAGCGTCTGAACTCTAAAATTCCTGGGACATCACATTGACTTCCAAGGAATTAAACCTCTTGAAGAAAAAGTAGAAGTTATAGTCAACATTTTTGAGCCAAAATCGATAAAGGCATTACACCAGTTCCTGGGGATGTGCAACTTTTACCGACCTTTTCTTCCATTTTGCAACTTTTGACGGATTTACTGAAGACTGATAAAACCGAAGCTCAGACCAGAAAAGAGAATAACTTTTCGTTAACACCCAAGGCCAGAGAGGCTTTTGCTAAAGCAAAACTGATAATATCCAATGTACTATGCTACAGTACCTAAACACCGACTCCACAATGCATCTCATCCTCTGCACCGACGCCTGCAAGAAAGCAATAGGAGTAGTATTACAGCAGTGCGTGAACGACAAGACTACCCCTGTTGCGTTATTTTCCATACGATTATCGCCAACTCAAGAACGTTATAACACCAGACGTGAACTTCTGGCTATGTATTTAGCTGTAAAACATTTCAACTTCCTGCTAAAGGGCCAAGATTTCACTATTATGACTGACCATAAACCCCTTTGCCATTCCTTTGACACGTCGTACAACAAGCATTCTCCACGGGAAGCCAGATAACTGGATTATATTTCTCAATTCACTAGGGACATCCAGTTTATCAAAGACTCCTCCAACATTTTCGCAGACGTTCCATCTAGAAAGGATATCAGCATTATGGTACACAACCACAACATCAGTTTCAAAGCTTTAGCTAAACTACAAGTAGACGATGCAGAATTGAGGGCCTGCAAAGAGAAGCCTAACTTGAATCCTATACCTATACCTATGCCTTTCTCAGATGCATCTATCATTTGCGGGTAATAATCGCCCCTTTGTGCCACAACCTTGTCGACGAAAAATATTTCAACAGCTACATGGACTGTTGCATCCAGGCATCAGAGTTACCACAAAGCTTATCACATAACGTTTCGTTTGGCCAAAAATCAATTCGGATGTTAAACATTGAACACGTGGCTGCTTACAGTGCCATTCGTTTGTTCTTGCAGAGGTCGGCTCTATGTTTTGGTTTCGTTTGCTCTTCAGGTATTCTTATCTTTCTTCCAAAAACTGCTACTGATGGACTTTCTTGATTATTCGTTGCTGGGTTGGGTGTTGCTTGATGGGTTTGTAAAAATATTTGGATCATCTCTTCTATTTTCCCTTCTCCACCGGCTTCAAGCAATGCTCTTTTAAACGTATCCACGAACCCCTCGACTAGACCATTGGACTGCGGATGGTATGGGGGTGTCTTTATATGCCTAACGGCGTTGACGACGCGGAACTTTGAGAATTCAGCTGAGGTAAACTGTGGTCCATTAACAGACACCAGTACATCTGGAAATTCAAAGGAGCTGAATACTTGTCTCAGTTTTTCGACAGTAGCTTTTGTCGAAAGAGACTTCATGTAGCGGATCTCTGGCCATTTTGAGGAGGCGTCAACGATCACCAAGTGCTGTTTCCCGTTTATGGGACCGGCGAAATCCACATGTATTCTTGACCACGGATTTGTCGATGTCCCTCAACTCCGCATTTCTGTCTTGCGAGGGGTTGTGATGAATTCTGCACACGCGGAACATCCCTCAACATATTCTTTGATCTGAGCATCAATATTCAGCCAATATATATAGCCACGTGCAAGTGCCGTCATCGATGCTACCCCTGGGTGTGCAGCATGCAGTTCTGACATCAACTTACAACGTACGTTTGTGGGTACAATTACTCCATTTTTAGAAATGAAGCACCCGTCCACGAGTGATAGAGAATTTCGACTGTGGGAACACTGTTCAATGTTTTTGTTGCCTATATGAGCGGGCCAACCAAGTTCGAGATAACTTATAACTC